GATGGCTCAGAGTCTGGAGCCTGTTTCCGATTCTGTGTCTCCCTCTCTCTCTGCCCCTCCCCCGTTCATGCTCTGTCTCTCTCTGTCCCCAAAATAAATAAAACGTTGAAAAAAAAAGTGGTCACCTTTTATTGGTCCCTAATTTACTCCTGTCATATAGCTCAGACAGCCTTTGGTTCTGGGGGATGGGATTTTGAGAACAAATCTGTGTTTTCTTCTCCCTCCCCTTCCTGAGTTTATAGACCTCCTTCATCCCCTCTCAGCCTTGTTTTTAAATTAATCAGTCAGTTTTATTGAACCTGAAGTGTATGAGCTGAGACAGGGCTAAGAGGCAAAAGGAAAAGATTCAGAAGGCACAATGACAACATTTGTTGACCACTTAACTACACACCAGGCACCAACCAGGCTAAGCTTTTCCTTGCAATAAACCCACAGAGTTGCTACCATTAAGATCCCCATTTAACAGCCAGGAAAACCGAGGCCCAAAGAATGAAACCACTTGGCCTAAGATCATACAGCTAGTAAATGGCAGTGTGGGAATTTAAACCCAAGTGGACCGACCCCTGAACATGTACTCTCCACCACCAGTCTAGAAGGCCACCTTATCCTCGCAGGCAGTGAGGTGTTAAGGGTGAGGGTAAGGACTCTGCAGTCAGCCTGACCCAGATTCAAACACCCGGCCCCCTGGCTGTGTTAACTTGGTCATATCTCTGGGTCCCGGTTTCACCTTTGGTAAACCCTACCTCACACAGGGCTGTCGTGGGAATTAAATGAGATGATGGATGGGAACACGCTAGGCCAATGCTGGCACACAGAAAGTTTTTGCTGGGTAACCATCCTTGTCCTCTCCTTGCTTCCCAGAGCTCGGGATCTAGTTGCCAAGTTGGAGATAAGAGTTCGGTGGAGAGCTTTGAGATGGGCTGGAGCCGACTGGGAAGTCTGTGATCGGGGACAAATTTGCAGATAGATGCAAATGTCTCCTTTGCTCTCTCCCTGCCTCTGCAACTAACCTCCTTTCCTATCTCCCCCAAAAGGAAAGGGGTGGCTTTTGTGCTCCACCATTGAGTGCTTGAAGCCCCTCTCTTTTCTGCTCCCCAGGAGGTGGAAGGACAGCGAAGATGACAGGAAGCCACCAGCTGGGAGACACTGTCCAGCAAGTGGGCACAGAGAATTGTGGCGGAGGGCGCTTCTTTTTCTGCCCTTCAATGGTCCGGATGGGGGAGGGGGCTGGCTGTTGAGCAACTGCTCCGGAGACACTCCTGAAGCCGAGATGAACATATGCCTCTTTCTAACAATTGGCCTGGGAGTCATCCAATAGATGGAGGGCGGATCCGACACCTCCCGGATCCGGAGCCTGCAGCGGCGCTGCTGCCGCTGTTTCCAGACCCGCTGCCCAGAGGGAGCGGAGGGGGAGGGTAGGTAGGAGGTCCAATCAGCAAAACACAATTCCAAACCCTGGGGTCGCTCACCTCAGGCAAACACCAAGATGGCTTGCGGATGTATTTCACAGGCAAACTCTGTAGGGTTTCTGGGTTCCGACAGATCCCGCCTTTTAGAGGAAGCAAAGTGGACATGACCCAACGATCTTTGGGCAAAGTGAGAAACGGTGTGTGGGTGTAACGTTCCTGGGGTTTATGTTGAGGCAGGGAGAGGGAAGGAACAGAGCTGCGCAAGGCAGCTTTTGGGGCTGGGGAAGGGGGTTAGCTGGAGTCCAGAGCACGCCCTTCGCTTCCTCCAGGTGTTAAGGAAGGGCCTTGATCCGTCCCTCTGTTTGCTCCCCATCCTTAAGTCAGTAAGCCGGCTACTCCGTCAACAAACAGAACTTTGTTCAAAGAGCAAATGCAGGGCACTTAGGGAAAAGTGTGTGGAAGGTAAGGGAAGGAAGGAAGAAAGAAAAAAATGAAAAGAAAAAAGAAAAAGACCTTTAGGTCTTCAAATCCAATTAAGAAGATGGAACACATACGTAGTGAAAATGACTTCATGACATTCCCTCACCTCTTTTCTCTTAACATCAGGACTTTTTAAGAAAAGAGCATGTTTTATAAACAGTGTAAAATGAACAGCTGCTGAAAGGGGCCAAAAAAGAGAGTTTAGTAGAGGGAAAATCCGTGGCCTTCCCGTAAGAGGTGAGATGGGAGCTTGCTGGCCACAAGGAACATGAACATGAAGGAAACATGAATGTTTCCCTTAAACATTTGTAAGATAGTATCCCAACCTGAGAAATATGTGCTCTAAATGCAAAATGTTATTCCTGCTAGATGGAAATGATTATATAATCATAATAAAATAACCTGGCATCATGGGAAGGCAGAAGGGATCCCCTCAAGCTCCGGGGCAAGCTCTTCGGACACGGCTGCCAGTTCTTGGCTTTTCTGCGGCGGGCTTCCTGAGGTGCACCTGGCCCCACGGTCCGGATAGGCAAGCATATACCCGCATCGCATCCCGCCAGCCTCCTTCCGCCGGGGGCTAACCACAAGAGAGAATCCCTAGAACCCAACTCCCGCTCAGGCCTTCGAGGGAAGCCGCCGCTGCCGGATAGGCCCTCCATGAGGCTCTGTCCGGAATCCGGGGACTTTAAGGGGAAAGCGACTCCCAGCCTCAGCCCTTCAAGATGGTGCGGCCCAGAGGGGGCAAAGAGGCTCGGAGAAAGCCCTGCAGAAAACTCAAAATACTGCCCGGCCAGCACGAGCCCTGTCCCCCTCTCCCCGGCCATTCCCTAGGCCATATACCTCTCTACCTCTCTTCCCACCCCCCCCCACCCCCCCTCAACGTCCTGAAGCCCGCTCTGGCCACCCGCTAGATTTAGGTCAAAAAACAGACACTAACAGCTCTCCCTAGCCTCAGCGAAATTGCTAAGTGGAATTTATTGGGCAAGTCCATGCAGGGCGGTGGGGAGAGACCATGTCCCGGGCACGGGCCACCCCCAGCTTTACAGGCGCAGACGTCGGCCTGGGGCTCAAAGCTGAGGGTGCCCATGGCCTGGGCCCGCCGGCTGCACCCCGGGAACCGAGGGTGGTCCCCGGCGCTGTCCGACCAACGGGGCCGCTAGGACTCCGTTCCCCAGCCGGCCCTTCGCTTTCACACGATCCGCGGTGACTGCACCAGCTTGAGCGCCTTTAAAGGGCCACACACGCCAGCAGCCGCTATAAAATGTTCCCAGCGGCACAGCTGCAGAAGGGGCACCGCTGAGCTGCCAAGAGGAGGCTCGCTCCGCCCGGCTGCCCGCCCGCAGCCTGCCTGCGAGGGGTCGTTCCCGGCGAGGAGGAAGAGGGCCGAGGAAGGCACAGCACCCGCTCTGGCCCTCAGTGAGTATCCAGTTCAGATTTTGCCACCAACTCGCCCACGAGCCAGGACATGTGCTAATAATGCCCTAAGCCGGTTATAAAGACGTGGAAATTGTGGGGGGGGGGGGGGAAAGGGTCTGTCCTTCCTGGGATTCCTAGCCGAGTCCAGCCTGCTGCCGTTTGCGTGTGCGTCAGGGCTATCCGGGCGGCAATGGGGGCTTGAGAACCGGGTCCCCGGCGCCGGGAAGGGACGGCGGAGGCCGCCACCGCCACCGCCCCGGAGTCAGGCGCCGAAGCTGCGGGCGGGCGGGCGGGCACGGGTGCGGGCCGGGGCTCCTTGGCGCGGCACTGTGCGGTGCGGCGGCGGCGCGGGCTTTACCCAGGCGCCCCGGGGTCGGGTGGCACTGAGCGCGACCGGCTCGCGGCGGCGGTGGCGGCGTGCGTGCCAGGGGCTGGGGGCTCCGCCGCTTCGCCCGCGGCTCACCGGGCTCCGCGCTTCCCTCTCTCCAGGGCAGGCGGCGTCGCAGAGGTAAGCCGGGCCGCCGGGCAGGGCGCTGGGCTGGTCGGTGGGGCCAGGGACTCCAGCGGAGCGGGTGTGGGGAGCGGGCGGCGGCCGGGCGGGCCGGGGTCCTCTGGGGGACTTGTTTTCTGTTTGAAAGCTGTTCTACTGGGGGCGGAGGGGCAGCCGCCTGCCCACCAGCGAGCCTGTTCGCTCGCCAGCGCGCCCGCCTTCCGCCAGCCGGGCCGGGCGCCCGCTTCTCTCGGGGAGACCGCAGCACCTTTTCTCCCCGCGTCCGCGCTTTCTCCAGCTTGGCTTCCACCGACTTTGCTAATCGCCCAGACCGCATCTGGACGCTCCGGCTGTGGGGCTGCACAAAGCTCAGGTTTCCTTCGGGGACTGGAGACGAGAGGGGCTTTTGGGGGGACAAGTTCAGCGGAATTGCGGGATGGAAGTTAGCGAATTTGGGCAACTTGCCTCTTCTGCTCAGCAGACCTTTACTCTCCCCCACACGCACGCCCACACACCCACGCACACCCACGCACACACCCCTCTCCCTATAAACGAGGGCGGCTGGGCCGGGCCGCGCACTGAGTCCCTGCCTCACCGAGCGTCGGACTTGGGAGTCAGACCGCCCTGGCTGCGAATCCCGGTTCCGCCACTTTCTAGCGCTGTGACCTTGGGCAAGTTACCGAACCTCTCCGAGCCTCTCTCACTCTTCTGGCAGCCGGCTTATAGCACTGATTACAGGCGGCTTGGCTAGGGGGTAGGCTCAGCCTGCGGCCGCGTCGGGTACTCAGCGGGCGCTCAGTAAGTGTTGATGAGGCGCGGGAGTGGCTGCCGGCGCCGAGTGCGCCCCCGCGCGCGGAAACACCGCGGGGACCCAAACTCGCTGCGGAGCCCAAGACCCCGCGCTTCTCCCCTCCCGCCCATCCAGTCTCTACAATCGGTTCGTGATAGCGCACTTGCAGGAGCCGACGCTCGAGGCCCTGGTGGCCTGGGTGCTCGCGCCCACCGCGCAGGGATGCTCCCAGCCGCCCCCAACTCCCGCAGCTCTACCTGGGATGCGGCGGGGAGGGCAGCCGAGCTGTCCGCAAACAACGGGCCTTTAGTTTTCAGGTGGCGAAACTGACTGGTCTGGTTAGAGCACGTCCAAGCCAAGCCGCAGTACTGTTTGGATTTTTAAATTTCTCCTGAGTGAGAAAATAGCAATCGAGATGGAGCCATCCGGTTGGTGCCATTTTAACTTTTGGTCCCCCAACAGGTCAAAGACTCGGCCCCCTACCTGCCTCTCCCTTCTCTTTACTTCCTTTACCTTCCCCACCCCCATCGAGGCGGGAGGGGGCTGGCGGCCCAAGGGAAGATCCGTAGGGAAGGGAGGGAGGCGGGACTGGGAACTGGTGGCTGGGGCCCGCGACACCGGCGGGCGAAGAGGCACTTGTTGCTTCGGGTTATCCAGCCGGCTCTTGCAGAGGTTTCGCAGTGGTCAGCCCGCAGCTTGGAGAGCAGCCTGGGACGTTTCCGCGCTGCCAAGTTTTGCCTTCGAATGGACTGGGTGGCAGAGTGGGGACAAACTGGGGGAAGCAGGGGCCCGCATTCCGATCGAAATGGTATTGCCTCTTCAGACGGATTCAATAACACTTACTGAGCGCCTACTGAGCCCAGACCCAGGGCGGGTGGAGAGGTGGCGGTGATGGGAGGCCACAGATCCGAATGGAAACAGGGTCCCGCCTAGGGGAGCTCCCAGCCTGAAGGGGGAGACATGGTAAAATGGTCTTCCCAAGAACTGATATCAAAACAGAAATACTTTTTTTTTCTCGTTCTTCCCCCACCCCCTACTTCTTTTTTCTCTCTCCTGTTTCTTCTTGTTGTTGTTAATGTTGTGTTTTCTTTTGGTGCGTTCCGGTGCCTAGCAGCATAAGGGAGGGAGGCTGGATAGGAACGGGGAAAGATGGTCAAGCCCCCCCCCCCCAGACATTTTTTCTTTGGATACGAAATTGCTTGATACCAAAGGTACTGGGTTCTTGAAGATGACATGGATTAGATTCCTTGTCTTGTGATCGCTGGCTTGAAATATTCTCGTGTTGCCTCAGAGAAGAAACAGGGCTCCAATCAAGCAGCAGTGGCAAACCCAGAAGCTGATTTTCTCATGTTTTCTCCCCACCCCCTTCTTCCTTTCTCTATTTTTCTTGCCTCCTTCCCTGATAAGTAAGTGGTGATGATAAAGACAGGCAGTAAGTGGTCGCTTTCTAGAAGTATCTGAACAGATTTCTAATGACCACTGGAGAGAGGGAGGTATGGAGAATTCAAACCTTGTTGGAAAGATTAGAGATACTTTTTAAGGTCCTGAAGAATCTTTGAGCTATGAGGTATTTGTAAATAGGAAATTCTACATCTCTAAGTCATCATGAAGGCTAGAATATATAGGGATTAAAAAAACAAGCTTCTAGGAAGAAAACTTGAGATTTTCCAGAGATTTTTTTTATTTTCTGGTTTGGGGGCATTCTTTTCCCCCTCATCCCCTTAATCCTTTGGCACTTGAGCTAGGAAATCATTTCTTCAGGAGCCATTTGAGTCATTTCAGGTATGATGACTTGGCCAGTGGTCAGGTGAGGCATGTGGGTAGAGGGGTATTAGATCCTGCTCCCAGAACCACAGCTACCTAATGGGAAAGCCATTCCATCTCAGTGCCTCAGTTTCCCTCCAGGAAGAGTCATTCCCACCAGTCCCTGCAGATGGGTGTGGCTGGGCTCAGAGCAGATATCCTGGGAAAGTCCAGTGCTGCCAGGGTTGTCTTGGAGACATGGAGAAAATTGAGACATTTCTAGCTGCTCTCTGGCTGCCTTAGCATCCCCGGACCACCCTGATCAGCCCAGGTTCTCTCAGACCCGTGCCCAAGGCAGGGCTTTGGAACCCCATGATGTTAGCTTTGGGGACGTATTCCTTCCCTGGGCCAAAGCAGCCAGCTTTCCAGGTCTTCCTTGCCCTGACTCTTTCCCCTCTTTCCCAATCCCGGTGGAGGTCTCAGGTCTCCAGCCTTGGACACCAGTGGCCCACTGAGAAAGTGTGCTACTTGCTCAGGGACATTCCTGTCCTCAGAATCAGAAGCTGTGCACCTCACACACATACTTGGGGCCCTGAAGTCACTTGTGTGAGGAAACAATAACATGTGCCCCTCCCCCCCCCCCCCC